CTTGGTCTATTCCCACAGTATGTTCTGGACCGCCAAGTTTTTAGCTTTGTTTGTCAGTCCAGTACATACAGATCTATAATGTACAAAATATAATATAAATAAAATATAATTGTAAATATTATATACATATGTATCATTAATGCACAACACTTAATTATATTACTTCGCGAAAAACTGAGCCAGTCGACAACCATGGCGAAAGAAACATTAGTAAGTGGGGCACTATGGCGTGTCAAAACAAATCCCCACCACCTTTCCACTGGCGCCATGGGCGTGGCCCCCGACAGTAAAAAACTGGCAGCCACGTGGAAATGGAGCGTTCTGATTGGTCGATGGGGGGAGGTGATAATTAGGTAATTAGTGGGAGCGTTCTGATTGGCTGGCTCCGTAGCTGGTCGGCGCGTGATTGGTTCTACCCATAGTGCCCCATGTGTGCCATTGATTGTCGAAATGCTAGACGAAAAAGTGGGGGAAGGGGGAGAAAGTGTCTGGGACCGTTTAGAGTCCGAAAATAAAATGGCGTCTGCGAGACGAAAGAAATATAGCGGGTCTGTAAAAGGAATATACTTGTTGAGAATGGAATGTTACTGTGTGACACGCGGGATGGAACGAAGAGAAGAAAACCAATTTTTTGTGGGATTTTATGGGTGGCTATATATGGGATATGAAAAATCACGTTTTTCTTAGGGCAAAAAGTTTTTCGGCGCCTCATAGTCAGTGAATTTAGATAAATTTCTCAACTTATTTGACATTTTTTGTATGGAGAAAATGCAGGTTACAAGTGGATAGATTTTGAAGACGTGAGGTTTGTCACGTTGTGTGTTGTGAGTGTAATAACCGTTAGAATGATTCAGCGTGTCGTACGGTATTTGGGGGAGGAAAACAGGAACGGACAGGTTCACACTAGAAGTGTCTGACGACGACGACGACGACGAATTTAGAGTTATACGAGGATTTTATCTTATCCACAAACACGTGGGCTGAAAAAATTTTCTTTCGACGTGACGATAACTATGCAAGCATATTGAAGGAAGAGAGAGAGAGAGAGAGAGAGAGAGAGAGAGAGAGAGAGAGAGAGAAGAAGTAAACCTAATTATGGAAAGGACAAAGAAGATGGCCTTGATTTCCACGAAAAATCTCGAAAGAATGCAGCATCGTCTCCAACAACATCGGCGATCGAAAATAGGCATCAGGGAAAACTCCATGCGGCAGAATTCAGAGATGATACACGGAGAAAATTTAAATTCCGTACAAACACCCGGAACGATTTTGTCACGTCTCGATTTTGATATGAGCAGAATTCTTAATTCTCCCACCTCGCACGATGTAAGTGAGAAATGGAAATTGTATAAAGAAGTACTTTGGCGATCTCCTTTTTGATAAAGCGCAAAAGGAAGATTCAACGCGTAACGCCGCCGATGAGAACAATTCAGATGCGCAGGAGAGGGTCGTGGTGGAACCAGCGCTCGAATCACAACCATTGAGCAAACTTTCTCATCTTGATGAGTAAATAAGTAATATACTACGTGCCGATTCTCTGCGTAAGCGTGAACGGCAAAGCATCGAAAAAATATTAGAAAACGTGCCGAAAAGTTTTCGCGCCAAGGCGCGTTTACTTTTGAAACATTTGATCGATAAAGCAGTACCCGCGAAAATTACTTGGGACGAGGAAGGAATCATGACTATCGATAATGATGTTATAAAAAATTCGAATATCATGGAACTGATAAACGACGCGATGCACGAGAGAAAAACCGAAAGCAATAGGAAGAGGTCAGTTTGATTACTACGTACGACAAATACCCCGGCTGTACTCGTAGGAAATAAGAAATTGTTAGCAACCACATTTGTCAAGATATCATCACCACGAGCGAGTTCCATTCCGAAAATACCGAGAAAATTTTTAACGTCAATGACGACGACGCCGACGACGACGAGGAAAAGGGTACGATGCACGAGAAAAGGACAAAAACGCAAGACCGAAGAAGAAGAGCGAGCAGAAGAAGTGCGAGAAGAAGTGCGCATTGTTTCTTTCGCTGCGTTTTCGTAAAGACGATATCCCTATAACCTTCGTGAAAGATTCTCGACAAGAAAGAGATGCTTACTCGATTGGAGTGAATTGAAATGATCAGACTTGAAAATTTGTATTACGATCCAGCGCACTGTGCGGGGTATTCGGCAACGGATAACTTGTTGCGTGCCACTAAACCGAATTTCTCTCGTAAAGAAGTAGCTCGCTGGCTCGAAATCGCGAATCGCAAGACGCGTACACGCTGCACCGTCCGACGAGACGAAAATTTCCGCGATTACGTTACAACGTGACGAATATCGACGATGTGGGAGATTAATTTGATCGAACTCCGTAATCTCAAAAGTTACAACGACGGATTTTCTTATCTTCTCGTGATTATCGACGTACTTAGTAAATTTGTTTGGGTAGAATCGTTGCGAGATAAAACGAGCAATTGCGTGACAAGGGACTTCCAAAATATTCTCTCAAGAAGCGATGGTCGAATACTCGTGTACAAACCGACAAGGGTAAAGAATTTATCGCGCGACCGATGCAAGATTTTTTAAAAGAAAGAGGCATACATTATCGAGTAACTCGCAATCCGGACATCAAAGCCGCCGTCGTTGAATGCTTCAATAGAACGTTGAAGGAACGAATTTTGGCGCTATTTTACACATAAAAATACGCGGCGTTACATCGAAGTGCTGCAAGATATCGTGCGCGCTTACAATCACACTCGTCACTCTTCTTTCACCACGCAATTATCTCATAGCGTACATTTATTTATTATTTTATTTATTCAGGGAATGGGAATCTCGCTTAACGAGATTCAATTTTCCTCCAGTCTTTTTTGTCGTTAGTCGAAACGATAATAAGATTAGATTTGTTGATTTGAAGAGTGTAAAGGATGAGAAGAATGCTGATAAGTTTACGGTGAAAGAATTGCACTTACAGACAGGGGTTTATGAAAATACAGAGGAACTTATCTACGCGATTAATAAAGAGTGCAGACGCACCGATTCGCATTTTACTTTCAAACTACAAAAAGGCTCAGGTGATAATGTCCGTATAAGCATCGATTGTGATGACAATTGTACTCTCTTCATTATATAAATCTGCCAGCTAATATTTTTCAAATATTGAGGATCAACATCGATGATACTGGCACAATTTACCGTCACACGTTACCTAATTCCAACGAATTAACGTCGTTTTTGAAACTCGGTTATGTCATCGATAGTGGACGCGCTGTATCTTTCTGGACTGCAGAACTCTGTACATGTGACACGGTATTCCTGATAAAATGTATGTTTATTGCGACATTTGCGAGCCTTACATAACCGGCGATACGCGGAGTCCGCTTCTTCGAATCGTTTCAACCGAAATACCTAGATGTAATTACACGTACGGGATGAATCTAGTAAAATATTTCTCCACTTTGCAATATACTCCATTGCGTTAAACGAAATTCCATAAAATTGAAATAGATATAAAAGATCAGCGTGGAGAAAAAAATACCATTCGTATCCGGAATGTTGATAGTAACATTACACTTTAGATGTGTCCGTTAATTATCATTCGCAGTGGAAAGCCTACGAAGCTTTGAGAAAAAACTAAATCTCCATGGAATACGACGAGTATTACGAAATGCAATACGGTGGAGGCAGGGGAGGCGGAATTCCACGAATTTTCGTCGGTTCAACTTATCAGCGTGATCATGGGATTGGTAGTTTCCTCGGAGGATTATTTAGAAAAGTACTTTTTTATCTAAGCAGGGGAATGCGCGCAGTCGGGAAAGAAGCTTTACGCGCCGGAATTGGCGTGATAGAGGATGTTGAAAATAACACACCGTTCAAGGAAGCAGTCAAAATGCGGCTCAAGGAATCGGGCGGAAATCTTAAGAGAAAAGCCAAAGAAAATATAAGTAACTTGATGAAGGGCTCGGGATATAAAACATCCGCGAAAATACGAGCGGGCCAAGTTTTCCTTCGGAGGGCACGACGCACGCACTGCTAAATCCGGGAGAAGCACGGTTCGTAAACGCAGACAAGTCGGTAAAAAAAAGAAATCATCGAATCGGCGTGAAAAAAACGATTAAAAAAAATCATCGAAGAGGAAAGCGGGCAAAATTAAAAAGACAATGAAACATCGACGAAATAATGGGATAAAGCGCACCGTATCCGATATATTCGCTTAACCGACGCACTTCGTAAATTTGAGAGATATGTCCTTTCTTCATACCCACTCGAGCGATTGTTTAAAGAGCGAGCTCGATCTTTTCAGTTTACCTCCTACTCAAACCAATATCGAGAGTTCGCAATGGGTTTATTACAAACCGATAAGCTCGCTCGCGGACGACGCACCTATAGAATTTGTCATACCCGGACACGGAGAAGATTATCTAGATCTCACGCATACCAAGCTAAGTCTTCGCGTACGAGTGAAAAATTTACCGGTCCTGGAACATTGACAGGAGGAGGAGGAGGAGGAGGAGGAGGAGGAGGAGGAGGAGGAGGAGGAGGAGGAAGGAAA